CCTCATGTTAGCTGCCCCGAGTCCCCTTTGGGGAGATGGTGGCAGGGTATAAATGAAGATGATGATGATGATTATTATTATTATTAGTAGTAGTAGTAGTATGAATACCATTAAGAGAATATTCCTTGTGCACCTGTGTAGTTGCTGAAGCCTGTTGAAGCTGTGTAAATTCCTCAGATGAAAATATATTATATCCTGTGTAAATTGCCTTCATTATATCATTAAGAGACTTATGACTATATAGATTGAGTATTCCTTATCCTGCATATCAAAATCCAAAGTATTCCAGACTCATCCACATGGGTGGCTGAGATAATGACATATTTGTTTTTATATATCTTCATGTACACAAAATGTGTTTCATGTATTATTAAAATATTGTGTACAAGATTACCTTTAGGCTATAAGATGGATATGAAACGTAAATTGTTTTGTGTTTAGACTTGGGTGCCATCTCCAAGATATGTGATTATGTACTTTATCCAATTACAGATATTCCAAAATCTAAACAAAAATGAAAATCCAAAACACTTCTGTCACGATATTAATGGATAGTCAGTCAGTACAAGGGACAGAATTCTGTACAAGTTAAAGCCTTTATGAAATTATTTTATAATGCCTTATCAGACACAAGCAAATTAAGGAAGAACTTGATGATAATGATGACAATGATAAAGTTTATGATGGATAAGAAGCTATGATAAATGGTTTAAAAGAACAATGTTCTTACATGGATGCAGATAGTTCAATTCCCATAAAAATCCTTACAAAATGAATGATACCTTATATACAATGTAATTTGTTACCCCGTAAAAGGCATGTATATGCTTTGATATCTACGAGCAATTACCATAAGTAGCTTAATAGTGCCAAAAGAGACTGCTCATTTCCCAGGATGATTTCCATACTTTAAAATAGTCCAGTGGATTGCTGATGATAACCTGGCCTGCTTCATTTAACTATCCTCGTGTTGGGTACTAGAAGTTGATATAAGTTACCCCAGACAGAATCCATATTATCTGAGCAGTGGCAAAGGTCCTAAATCCCTCTGTCTAAGGCTGGATCTACACTTCTATATAATCCTGTTTCTGAATCCAGATTATATGAGTATATACTGCTATATAATCCAATTCAAAGCAGAAAACCTGGATTCAGAAATTGGATTATATAGCAGTGTAGATGGGACTTAAGAGATAGGGGTAGGGAAACTATGCCCATTTCAGTGCCCAGAGTGTCCCTCCACTACTGCACCAGGGACATTTTCAGGAGTGTTCCCCAAAGTAGCAAATCTATTGCCTTTCCTATATTTACCTAAATCATCATTCTCCAGCAAAGGATCACCGCCTTGTCGGGGCGCTGGAGCTTGAGCACCTCAATGATGTCATGAGCGAAACCGTGAAGGGCCACCCAAGACGGGACGGTTGTGGCAGAGAGGTCAGACCCAGCGTGATCCCTGGGGAAGGCAATGGCAAACCACTCCAGTATCCTTGCCAAGAAAACTAAATGGACCAGTACAACCAGAGATATGTCGGTATGCCATTGGAAGATGGGACTCCCAGGTCGGAAGATGGCCAAAATGCTACTGGGGAGGAGCAGAGGATAAGTTCAACTAGCCCCAGATGTGATGACGCAGCTAGCTCAAAGCCGAAAGGAAGGCTAGCGGCCGACGGTACTGGAGGTGAACGACGAATCCGATCAACACACCATAGGAACCTGGAATGTAAGATCTATGAGCCAGGGCAAATTGGATGTTGTTCTTGGTGAGATGTCAAGACTAAAGATAGACATTCTGGGGGTCAGCGAACTGAAGTGGACTGGAATGGGCCACTTCACATCAGATGACCACCAGATCTACTACTGCGGACAAGAGGAACATCGAAGAAATGGAGTAGCCTTCATAATTAATAAGAAATTCGCTAAGGCGGTGCTTGGATACAACCCAAAAAATGACAGAATGATCTCAATTCGAGTGCAAGGAAAGCCTTTCAACATTACAGTGATCCAAATATACGCCCCAACCACAGCTGCTGAAGAAGCAGAAGTAGATCAGTTCTATGAGAATCTGCAGGACCTACTGGATAATACACCAAAAAGAGACATTATTTTCATTACAGGAGACTGGAATGCCAAGGTGGGAAGTCAAATGACAACAGGGATCACAGGCAAGCATGGTCTGGGAGAACAAAATGAAGCGGGACGCAGGCTGATAGAATTTTGCCAGGAAAACTCGCTGTGTATAACGAATACTCTCTTCCAACAACCTAAAAGACGGCTATACATGGACCTCACCAGACGGTCAACACCGAAATCAGATTGACTACATCCTTTGCAGCCAAAGGTGGCGGACATCCATCCAGTCGGTGAAAACAAGACCTGGGGCTGACTGTAGCTCAGATCAAGAACTTCTTATTGCCCAATTTAGAATAAAACTACAGAGATCAGGGAAAATACACAGACCAGTTAGATATGATCTCACTAACATTCCTAGCGAATATACAGTGGAAGTGAAGAACAGATTTGAAGGACTAGATTTAGTAAACAGAGTCCCAGAAGAACTATGGACACAAGTCCGCGACATTGTTCAGGAGGCGGCAACAAAGTACGTCCCAAAGAAAAAGAAAACCAAGAAGGCAAAATGGTTGTCTGCTGAGACACTGGAAGTAGCCCAAGAAAGGAGGAAAGCAAAAGGAAACAGTGATAAGGGGAGATATGCCCAGTTAAATGCGCAATTCCAGAGGTTAGCCAGAAGAGATAAGGAACTATTTTTAAATAAGCAATGCATGGACGTGGAAGAAGACAACAGAATAGGAAGGACAAGAGACCTCTTCCAGAAAATTAGAAACATTGGAGGTAAATTTCAGGCAAAAATTGGTATGATAAGAAACAAAGATGGCAGGGACCTAACAGAAGCTGAAGAGATCAAGAGAAGGTGGCGAGACTATACAGAAGATCTGTATAGGAAGGATAATAATATCTAGGATAGTTTTGACGGTGTGGTGAGTGAATTAGAACCAGACATCCTGAGGAGTGAGGTTGAATGGGCCTTAAGAAGCATTGCTAACAACAAGGCAGCAGGAGATGACGGGATCCCAGCTGAACTGTTTAAAATCTTAAAAGATGATGCTGTCAAGGTGATGCATGCCATTTGCCAGCAAATATGGAAAACCCAAGAATGGCCATCAGACTGGAAAAAATCAACTTATATCCCCATACCAAAAAAGGGAAATGCGAAAGACTGCTCAAACTTCCGTACAGTGGCCCTTATTTCTCATGCCAGTAAGGTAATGCTCAAGATCCTGCAAGGAAGACTCCAGCAATACATGAGCGAGAGTTGCCAGATGTTCAAGCTGGGTTTAGAAAAGGCAGAGGAACGAGAGACCAAATTGCCAATCCGCTGGATAATGGAGAAACATCTACTTCTGCTTCATTGACTATTCTAAAGCCTTTGACTGTGTGGATCATAATAAATTGTGGCAAGTTCTTGGTGGGATGGGCATACCAAGCCACCTTGTCTCTCTCCTGAGGAATCTGTACAAGGACCAAGTAGCAACAGTCAGAACTTACCACGGAACAACAGACTGGTTCAAGATTGGGAAAGGCGTACGGCAAGGCTGCATCCTCTCACCCAACCTTTTTAACTTGTATGCAGAACACATCATGCGATGTGTGGGGCTGGATGAATGCAAAGCTGGGGTGAAAATTGCTGGAAGAAACATTAACAACCTCAGATATGCAGATGACACCACTCTGATGGCCGAAAGCGAGGAGGAGCTGAGGAGCCTTCTAATCAAGGTGAAAGAAGAAAGCGCAAAAGCCGGGTTGCAGCTAAACATCAAAAAAACCAAGATTATGGCAACAAGAATGATTGACAACTGGAAAATAGAGGGAGAAATTGTGGAGGCCGTGACAGACTTTGTATTTCTAGGTGCAAAGATTACTGCAGATGCAGACTGTGGCCAGGAAATCAGAAGACGCTTCCTTCTTGGGAGGAGAGCAATGTCCAATCTCAATAAAATAGTAAAGAGTAGAGACATCAGACTGGCAACAAAGATCCGCCTAGTCAAAGCCATGGTCTTCCCTGTAGTCACCTACGGATGTGAGAGCTGGACCTTAGGGAAGGCTGAGCGAAGGAAGATCGATGCTTTTGAGCTGTGGTGTTGGAGGAAAGTTCTGAGAGTGCCTTGGACTGCGAGAAGATCCAACCAGTCCATCCTCCAGGAAATAAAGCCCGGCTACTCACTGGAGGGAAAGATACTAGAGACAAAGTTGAAGTACTTTGGCCACATCATGAGGAGACAGGAAAGCCTAGAGAAGACAATTATGCTGGGGAAAGTGGAAGGCAAAAGGAAGAGGGGCCGACCAAGGGCAAGATGGATGGATGGCATCCTTGAAGTGACTGGACTGACCTTGAGGGAGCTGGGGGTGGTAACGGCCGACAGGGAGCTCTGGCGTGGGCTGGTCCATGAGGTCATGAAGAGTCGGAGACGACTGAACGAATGAACAACAACAACAAGTTGCTTTCTTCTTTCTTCGTGTTTAATTCGTATTTTTAGCTCTGTCCATTCCCTGCTAACCTTGAGTTAGGTGGCATGAGGTGTTGTCAAAGGCGGTTTCGGGCTGGAATCACTGTTGCTGGGAGTTTCCTGGTTGGCATGGGGGACCACGAAGGCATGGCAAAGGAAGATAGACAGTGGAACGGGAGTAGTATAGCATTACTGATTGCCGTGGACCACGAAACAAAAAGGTCTCGTACGCAGGAAATAAAGCCCGACTGCTCATTGGAGGGAAGGATATTGAGACAAAGATGAAGTACTTTGCCACATCATGAGAAGACAGGAAAGCTTGGAGAAGACAATGTTGGGGAAAATGGAAGGAAAAAGGAAGAGGGGCTGACCAAGGGCAAGATGGATGGGATCCTTGAAGTGACTGGATTGACCTTGAAGGAGCTGGGGGTGGTGACAACAGGGAGCTCTGGCGTGGGCTGGTCCATGAGGTGAAGAGTCGGAAGCAACTGAATGAATTGCTTCTGGAACATGGCCATACAGCCCAGAAAACTCACAGCAACCCAATGTATGCATCCATTTGCCTCACTGTGAAGATTGCCAGATTACTGGTAGCAGTCTGTTTCCTTGTTTGGCGTCACTAATACCCTGTCCAACATCCTTTCTCTCCTTCTTTCTCTGTCATACAATTATAGAATTGGAAGAGAACATTAAAATGAGTGATTTTTCCAAAAGATTCCCACAGCAAGCCCAGAAATTCTTGGCTATACTAGCTCAACATATTCTAAAAACCAGACAGACAAAACACATCCAATTTCAGTTATGAGAAATAGTAAGCGTTAGTGATAACAACAACCTGCTCCTCCCTACTAAGTGACAGCATAAGATAGTCAAAGCTAAACATATTTAAGTTTAGCTGATTTTAGATAATGAAGCAATTAACTTCCCATGGAAATAAAAGAGACTTTGGCTGGACTGTGCCTTAATTCCTTTTCAGTGACTCATGTACAAGGAACTATCCTGGGGTTGTGGGCACCCATTATGAAAATCTGATTGACCACTGATATGAGATTGTGTTCCTGTAATTTAAAAAAAATCAGAAGTCAGACAGAATGCAAACCTAATTCAGGTTACACAAGTGATGTTCAGGACATTTCCAGTCATTTATACCCACCCTTTGGTATGTCTTCTTACATAGTTAATATCAGTCTTCAGTACTCAGAGATCTTTATTATAATTGCATTGTACAACTAACATTATTTATTAAACAGAATGACAAAAGTCAATTACTAGGAAACAGGAAGCACCATTTTTGTATTATGGTGAGATTTCCACTTCTGATAAAGAGTTGTACCAAAACCAGTGTACTATTTTTAAGTGAGTGATTTCTTCCGCTCATATTTATTTACTGGTTTATAGCATTTTCAATTATATCCTTTCTCCAAATTGTTCAGGATTATATAGATGCCCCACCCTGCAATTTACTTTCATTGGCATTGACCAGAAAGATAACATCTTTTCCAAGGTCATCCAATGAGTTTATTGACCACAATCCATCACTCAAACCACCATTAATTAGTAATCTAGTTATCTGAGAACCAGTAAATAAATATGTCCAGGAGGAAGACATCTCAGATTGTTCCTTTTTCCAGCTTTCAAGGTATTTTATCTTTCAGATTAATTCTAGAATTATGGAGTACCAGAGTTCCTTTAGCTCTCATATATCATATATGACAATTTTTCTAAACTTCTTACAAAGACATCTCAGTATTTTAGAAATGTTTTTGACACCTATATCAATTAATAATAAACAGATATCAAGCTTCTATATTTTGGAATTAATTTTTACAAATGCATGGCACGTTTGGCTATGATAAACATTTTGCTAATACCACATCACAGATTACATCTCAAATCGACTGTGAACTTGTTTTGCTTTTGATTTGTTATAATTGGTAATCATATCCAATTTACTGTGACCAAGAGTCATCCTTTTTTCATCTCTGTGTATGTTGCTCTTGTTTTCTCTTGCTGCATCATCAGAGACACCAGAAGAAGAAGGAACTGACAGTTTCAGGCCACTATTCAATGATTTAGTTGGATTGTAAATGAGATCTAGTTTGCTGAATCCATGAGTTGCTGTTTTTTCATTATTCTGTATTTTGCTTACATTGTCCTTTGGTTGAGGGTTATATGGGAATGCCCTGTTGCTGGCTGTTCCAATATTCTCAGGCCGAAACTGCAAATCGTGCCCATTTCTTGTATTGTCGCCTAGTATTGGCGATGATGCTGATAGAAAATTTGTTTTCAGTCTTGGCAAATTAGAGATTTCATTGAATTGATACTTTAATTTACCTGCAGCACTGCAGCTAGAATCTGATAGCTCCCTGGGCTGATATTTCGAGTTACTAATCCCTAGTAAACCCGAAATGTCCTTGGACGTTGCCTGGTTTAAATATGGCGATTTCTTTATGCTGGCTATGCTGTAATTGGAGAGGCTGCTGGAGGGGCTTGTGGTTTCACTTTCATTTTGGTGAAACCCTTTTAAAACTGGCTCATAGTTCTTCAAGGTTTTGTGAGAAGACAATATGGACCTTTCAGCAACGGGGATATTGAGTTGATTCACAGATCTGGATTCCGCATATAAACATCGAAACTCTCTGTCAAAACATTCGACAACTTTTCCTCTGAAGTGTATTACCAAGCCAGTATGGACCTGGCTGCACAGCCATGTAAAACTGAAAGAGAAAATAGCCAGAAACAGCATTAACTACCAATATTGTTACTCAAATTTCAAATATTACTTGCTTTAAGAAAACATGGAAGTTGGTTGGACAGAAATAGTAATTTATACCATGGGTACTGTTTCAGTGTTAGGCTGTTGAACCGTGGAACAATTTGAAGATCATTATCTCAAGATGGGTTCATGTGCTTGATGTCCATTAGGCAATACTAAAACTATTACTTGACTATGCAAACGAAGTTATTATAGTCTGTGGTTTCCAAGCATCTATACAACAAAAATGAGGAACAACCTGAAAGGTAGCAATTATAAATTCCAGTAATTGGACACAGACTCAAGTGTGAACAGCTAGGCTGGTGGAAGTGGACTTTTCTATTACCCGTTTTTCCTCATTGCACTTCCTATGGCTCTCTGAAAAACCTACAGTGTTGGGGGACCCTGTTGAATAAGATGAACTATAGCATGAGGGAAGGAGGGGGAATCCCTGTAAATCAGATACAGTGGTACACCAGAGTCTCAGTTATCCAACCTTCACTCATCCAATGTTCTGTATTATCCAGTGCAGTCTACCTTCTGCCCAGATCCACAGCTCTTTCAATACATTGCAATGTTTTGGTGCTAAATTCGTAAATACAATAATTACTACATAACATTACTCTATTGAACTGCTTTTTCTGTCATTTTGTTGTAATTTGTTGACTAATGGAGTACTTGCAGGGTTTGGTCCTGGGCCCAGTACTGTTCTACATCTTTATTAATGTCTTGGATAAAGGTTTAGAGGGCATGCTTATCAAGTTTGCAGATGACACCAAATTAGGAGGGATAGCTAATAATCCAGAGGACAGGATCAGAATTAAAATGACCTTAATGGATTAGAGAGCTGGGCCAAAACTAACAAAATGAATTTCAACAAGGACAAATTTAAGATATTACACTTAGGCAGAAAAAATGAAATGCAAAGATAAAGGATGGGTGAAGCCTGACTCAACAACAGCCCATGTGAGAAAGATCTCGGAGTCTTTGTGGACAAGTTGAACACGAGGCAACAATGTGATGAAGCAGCTAAAAAAGCCAATGGGATTTTGGGCTGCATCAAAAGGAGTATAGTGTCTAGATCAAGGGAGGTCATAGTGCCTTTCTATTCTGCTTTGGTCAGACCTCACCTGGAATAAAACTGTGTCCAGTTCTGGGCACCACAGTTAAAATGAGATATTGACAAGCTGGAAGGTGTCCAGAGGAGGCAACTAAAATGATCAAAGGTCTAGGGCACTATGAGGAGAAACGTAAAGAGCTGGGTATTTTTAGCTTGCAGAAGATAAAGTTAAGAGGAGATATGATAACCATGTATAAATATGTGAAAGGATGTCATAAGGAAGAGGGAGCATGCTTGCTTTCTGCTGCCCTGGAAACTAGTACCCGGAACCAGGACCGTAGCCAGGATTTTGATTCGGGGGGGGGGGGGGGGGGGCTGAGCCTGAGTGAAAGAAGGTCTACCCTAGCAAACCTTTTGTATTGTTACCCCAATACCCCCATGCATATGGGATATATTGAGCATGGTGATCAGATCATGATATGAATAAACATAATGTACCAGTAAGGCCTTCTCACGGACCATCATGAGAATTTCGGGGGGGGGGGGGGCTGAACCCCTCAAGCCCCCCCCCCCCCAGCTACATGCCTGTCCGGAACAATAGGTTCAAATTACCGGAAAGGAGATTCCATCTAAAAATTAGGAAAAACTTCCTGACTATTAGAGCTGTTCAGCAGTGGAACTCATTGCCTTGGGGTGTGGTGGAAGCTCCTTCATTGGAAGCTTTTAAACAGAGGCTGGATGGCCATATGTCAAGGCTACTTTGATTGTGCTTTTCCTGCATGGCAGGGGGTTGGACTAGATGGCCCATGTGGTCTCTTCTAACTCTAGGATCTTATGATTCTATTATTTTCTACCTTGTTGTTAGAACTGGTTTAGGGGCAAAAAATCCTCTTTTGCACTCTTCATAGATCAAACAGCGTTCATATGTCAAAATGTCACTCTAGGCTGAGCGAGGATTTGTAAGATAAAATATACTTATGTTGGGACATACTTATGTAGAAGTTCTACTATAGTAGCTCCTTCAGTGAGTGTATCAGAGCCCCTGGTGGCGCAATGGGTTAAACCCTTGTGCTGGCAGGACTGAAGACCGACAGGTTGTAGGTTCAAATCCGAAGAGAGCGTGGATGAGCTCCCTTTGTCATCTCCAGCTTCCCATACGGGGACATGAGAGAAGCCTCTCACAATGATGGTAAAACATCAAAACATCCAGGTGTCCCCTGGATGGATGTCCTTGCAGACGGCCAGTTCTCTTACACCAGAAGTGACTTGCAGTTTCTCATACACATACACACACACACAAAAGTGAGTGTATCAATTCTATTCATGGAAGGAAGATCATGAATCCAAAATGATGGGCAAAAATTAAAGAATCACTTAGTCCCAATGACGCCAGGATTCCTGGATTTATCCTCCTTGGTATTCCAGTTTGACCTTCTAAATCTATTCCGATAGTTCTTCAGGAAGCATTGTAAAGAAAGGCCACTGAAATAAGGATAGTCCTACTACTTGACAACTCTTAGTGGCAACTCTTAGGCAGTAGATTTTTACAGAGATTGACTGTAGCCGCAAATAGGAAGAGTGTTTGCACTTTGCCAATTCTAGCTTGAAGCATTGCTCAGGGGTCAAGGTAAAAACCCTCTGTATGCTGTAGGACTTGAATAACCTCTTATGAAAGTTTAGCCCTTCAACATGTTTTCAAGAACTAGGAACTAGCAGGAAAAGTAACTGAAAGCCTCTGACCTTTTATAAAGATCTTCCTTCTTAAGATAACCAAAACTATGCTTTCAGAGTTTAACAGTTCACCATCAAGCACAGCGGCCAATATGACTAGACAAGTTGATTTTCATCATTGTTGACTCTCAAGATAGTCAATATTATAATCCTTCCTGTTCACAGTTATGCAGAAAAGAGGCCCCATCTTGGTATCAGGTGACTCTTAACTGTGGGAAGATTTCATAAGTTTGGCAGATTGCCCATTAAATCAAACAGAAGGACAAGAAGAAAGCTATTGCTAAAGCTTTTCTGATATGCCAAATGCTGACGAGTCAGGGGTAGATTGGGTGATTGGAGGAATTATCAGTCAAGCAAACACAAGATGGTTATTGTTGAGGGTTTTTTTTAAGTAAAACTATTTCCTCATAAAAACTAAGCCAAAGGAATGGCATGCAGACAGAAAGTGAGATATGAAAGCTATACTTTGGGTTTGTGTGTGCCTTCAGGTCACCTGCCAATTTATGTCAGCCATGTGAACTTTTTGAAGTTTTCTTAGGCAAGAAATACAAAAGGTGATTTTGCATTTCCTTGTGCTGAAATACACCCTTGGCTGTTGCTATTCCTTAGTGGTCTCCCACCAGGACTGACCCTGCTTAGCTTCCAAGATACGGATGGGGGGAATCTGGTAACTTGAAATAAAGATAAAATAACTTCAAAAAGGCGTTTTCTTTTCATGGCAGGAGCAACTTGAGAAACTGCAAGTCGCTTCTGGTGTGAGAGAATTGGCCACGTGCAAGGAAATTGCCCAGGGGATTCCCAGATGTTTTACCATCCTGTGGGAGACTTCTCTCATGTCTCCACATCAAAAGCTGGAACTGACAGACGGGAGCTCACCCCGCTCTCCAGATTTGAACCTCCAATCTTTCAGTCAACAGTTGTGCTGGCACAAGGGTTTAACCCATTGAGCCAATCCAGTTAAAAGGAATTGAAGTTATATAAATTGAATTTGCACCAGTTATTACTACAATAACTCCCAGAATTCTATGGGTCCAAATTCTTCCAAATTCTGCCATGTTCCATGTGTATACCTGTGTATTTGAAAATATATTTGAAGATATGGGTCAATCACAAAAGTTGTGAAGATAAAAAGGAAGTACTTTTTATATAATCCTTAGCTCACCAGTAGTAGGACAGAACAAAATAAAATACCTCCAATGACAGAGGATATGTTATACAAATGCACAGATTCCAAAACAACACTATTGCTGTCCTCTCCAAAAAGTATTCTTAGCATGCAAGAACATCCTTAGACCCATTGTTTATGACTTCTCACCTGTAACTTCCTGCAAGGACTTGTTCACAGTCTATTAGCACAAATTTCTCAAGTGCTTGCCCTGTGAGCTTCTTGCCAGCTTTACTGTAATACGTGTCTCCACTCACACAGCGTATCCGCATGTTCTGAAATGAAAAGCAGAAGTCATGGAGATAGAAATTGCCAAGACAGATGGACTTTTCTGGAATGATATTATATATGTATATAATAATACATACACAACATGAAACTTGTAACTAGTTGTTGCAGTGTGTGTCTCAATAAGTATTTTAATAAATCTTAAGGAAAGGTTTACATAAAATCCAGAATCATCAAGGTTTGCAGTGCTTTTTTGTACATTTCTGTTACTTGCTCACAAGGTATATATTGTATAATAGACTGGGCTGGGCTTTAGCACAGCGGGTTAAACCACCAGCTGTAGAAAATCTTGCTGATCAAAAGGTTGGCAATTCAAGCCTGAGTCGGGGTGAGCTCCTGCCGTCAGCCGAGCTTCTACTCATCTAGCAGATCGAAAACAGCAATATGAGTAGATAAATAGGTACAGCTTTAAGTGGGGAGGTATTAAAGAGTGTGCCATAATGGCTGGAGGTGTGGGAAAGGGAACTGTTTTGCTTTATGGGATGGGGAAAGTTCTGGAAATACCGCATGGCTATAAAATACTGGAAATCATTTCTAGGACTCTGACCATTTTATGGATTACTATTTGTTATTTGAATATTGGAAAGTTATGGCATCTCAAGAAGACTTGAGATGATCATGGTGAATTTATTGACAACAGCTTCAAGTAGAATACAGTATTTCCAAAGAAGTAATAAATAAGAATCTCCCAATATAACAGAGTATTACTTTTTAGAGGAGCGTGGACTCTTGTCTTTGGATTTCCAACATGCTAAATGTTAAGGAGGATAGTCAATGTGTTCATTAAAAATGGAAACAGAATATTGGATCAAGTGAACTAAGAATGATTCATCAGGGCAATAGCTCAGAAGTCCACACCCTTATTTATAGAAGACAAAATTAGGCATGACAGCAATAGGCCTATTGTGTATGTTTTGTACATGTTTTTTTAAAAAACAAATGTACTGGTAAGGAGCTAAATCACAATGGAATATATCATTGGATGCTCTACTTCTCAGTTGTGTTCTACTAGAAGCTCAGAAATGAGCCTGTCTGGCCAAAAAATACTTGTGAGGTGATAGTGGTTCTCTAGCTCTGGCCAAGCACCACCATCCACATGACAACTCTGATTTAAACAAGTGGTTCCCAACCTTTTTTTGACCAGGGACCACTTTGACCAGAGACCACTTTGAAGAGGAACCACTTGACCAGGGATCACTTGACCAGGGACCATTTTGATCAGGAACCACTCTCCAAGATTAGTATCAAAAGGGTTACAAATCAGTTTTTGGTCAACTTTAGATTTGGTTTGGTTATTTGGGGTGATGATTCAGGAAATTGCATTGGACAGACCACATCAGCTCTAGTTCCTGATACGGAACATATGCCATTGGGTAGTCGCCATCTGCTCACCCACAGAAAACCATATTTAAAAATCTAGGGCTAATGTCGTAGTAGTAATCTTTTGTGAGTAAGAGGGTTTGGCGAGACCAGTCACTCTTGTTGCTGTGTGGTTTCAAGGCAACGGTGTAGAAATTGTGAGACCACAGATCATATTTTCGTTCCACGGACCACAGGTTGGGAACCACTGATAAACAAATGTGCCTAGCACCATTGCATTCAATATTGCCTAAAGTGGATGAAGAAAACCATACAGAGATCTTCATTGCCCCTTTGACTTTCATACTATTTTCTTTTTTGTTGGCAGGGAAAGCCATTTTAAAATTTATCCAGGTGTTTGGTGGATAAGCCGGTCTCCTATTGAAGGGAGTTATGTGGCTGGCTACTTTTATTCTGCTTTTAATTGTCTTTTAAGTTATGGTTGTAATAACTGTAATATCTTTGAGAGTGGTTGCTCCTTTTGACTTCACTTTATATGAATACACTGAACTATGTATTGAATATTATATACCTTATGCTCCTTGAATATTATTTTTTCCTGACATAGATTATTTTGTGTATTTTGACATCCTACAAGTATTCTGGGATAGCGTATAGTTTTAAGTTATGGTCTCATTTTGGTTTTAATTCCTGTTTTCTTCTTCTTATCCACTTGGCAGAAAGCCAAACCATTAAAAATGCAATGTTGTTCATTAAATGAATGACATAGATGCCACTTACAACATACAACTTTCACATTACAGCCAGCCCTCCACATTTACAGGAGCCCGGTGAACGTGGGAAAATCTGAATTAAAAATGCTTTTCACCTGGAAGAATGCCTCTCTAGGAATTACTAGGTCCTCCATCACTTGACGCTAGCCACAGAATGATACTAGAGGACTTGAAAATTCCTAGAGATAACATCTTAATAAAATCTGTGAATAATCAAATCTGCAAAAGTCAGAAACTCAAACGTGAAGGGCCAACTGTGGTTAAACATAGTATTCTTCAGCAGAGGCAGTTCACATTGTAAAGTATTTGTTATTAAGGTAGCATACCATAACTTGTAATTCTATATGCATTCATAATGGGAATATTGTTCCATACTTTCCCTTCTCCCAGTTCTATGTATGCAAATGGCAAAAGACAGACAAAATGAAACACGTGACATTTCCCCTGTCAATCCAACACTGTGCAAAAGGTAAAACCTCTTTTATTTATGCCTGTCATCTGAATATCTATTCAGCATTGAATTCCTTTACAAAGGAAACAACGGGCTGTGATGATATATCAATGTGATTACTGATATTATGCATACCAGTTTAAATGACAAGCACCACCCTGCTATTCCATCAATTAATCTGTGTCAGCCATGGCATTTGAAGCTTGATGAATACCAATTGTGTGTGGGGGGGTGGGGGGTGGGGGGTGGGGGGGGAGCAGGGCATTAATGATCAAGAAACCTACTGGAAAGTCGTCCATTGTGAGATCCATTTTAGTGCACATTTCAGCAAAGTATTTCAAGTTTTTTTCATCAAGGATCAGGTAAACAGGCACGTGCCTCTTGCTTGACGCTTCCATTAGATCACTGAGTATTTCCATATCTGTGAAGAGATCCATCACAATTGCAATCACCTATGCAGATAGGAGGGAAAGATTAGAAATGTTTTAGAAAGACAAATACCGGTCTTGTGTTTTTCGAATATAATTCCTCAAACATATGAATGAACAATAAAAAATCAACATATCAGGCTGCATCCCTATTTGCCTTTCCTTACTAAACCCACTGAGTGCAGCTGAGTATAAATCTTAGCAAAATGCATTCATTTGTCTTTTCAGTTTCCTTAGATAAAGTGGAAAGGGTAGAATAATGGTAGAGGGAACATTGATAATTTAAGATATGCAGATGACACTATACTACCAGCAGAAAATAGCAAACATATGGAACTGTTGAGGAAATGCAAAAGAGAAAGCATCTATACAATAAAAATTAGGAACAACTTCAATGTAATGAGGAACATTAAGGAAATGAAATCACAATCAGAGATTATTTATTGTTGTTTTGTATCTCCAAGTCATTTCTGATTTATTGCAACTCTATTACAGGGTTGTCTGGGCAAGATGTGTTGTTTGAAGGGAGTGCCTTTGCTCTGAGGCTAAGAGAGTGTGACTTGTCCAGGATCACCCACTAGGTTTCTATGTCCAAGGGCTTCTAACCTGAGTCTCCCAAAGTCCTGGTTCAACACTCAAGCTACTAGACAATGCAGGTTTTCACATACTGTACATAACTTTAAATTGGGAGATTGGGACATTGCAATACGCTTCGAGTCCAACCGGTCTTCTAGACACCATCTCCTTCTATGAACTGGTGTGGGCATTCAGATCTGCTGAGAAGGCCTTTCTCTCAGTCCCACCACCATCTCAAGTATAGTTGGTGGGGACGAGAGAGAGGGCCTTCGCGGTGGTGGCTTCCCAGTTCAGAAATACCCTTCCTAAAGAAATTAGATTAGCCCCCTCTCTTCAGGCCTTCTGAGTGAGTCTAAAAACATGGCTCTTCGGAGAGGCCTTTAATCCTTTAGTAATCCATGGTCAACGTGATGAATCAATTGTACTGTCCCACACTTTGATTGTTACAACAGATAGCCTGCTTACTTGCAGGTTCTACTGTGTTTTAGAAATTTTATAATTGTATACTTCTATAATTTTATCAGTGGGATTTTTATGCACTGTTAATTGTATTTGTCATTGTATTTATACTTGTGTATTGTTGTCTGTATGTGGCATTTGGAGTGCTTCTGTGAGTTTCCCCAAGTCCCTTTGGGGTACAAATAAAGATTATTATTATTATTATTATTATTATTATTAAATATTTTCTATATCCGAGCCTAGTCATAATGGAGACTTATCAAGAATTCCAAAAGAGGGTTAATATTTGGAATAACAGCTGTGAAGGAACCAGATCAAATCTTCAAGTGTAAGGAGTGAACATGAAGTCAGGATTGTACCGTAATAGTTCTGATTTCTCTGTGGTTGTGAAAACTGGACAGTAAGGAAAACTGATGGTTTGGGTGCTGGAAGAAAGTGCAACGGATATGATAGATTGCTAAAAAGAAAAATTAGCTGATTTTAGAGCAAATTAAGTCTGAAGTCTCCCTCGAAAATAAATGACCAAACTGAGGTCATATTTTGGAGACATCATGAGAGAATAATGATGGGTAAGATGAAGGGCAACAAGAAAAGAGGAAGACTACATTACAGGTGTATTGTCGAAGGCTTTCATGGCTGGAATCACTGGGTTGTTGTAGGTTTTTTTTCAGGCTATATGGCCATGTTCTAGAAGCATTCTCTCCTGACGTTTCACCTCATCTATACAAACTCTGAGGATGCTGCCATAGATGCAGGAAACATCAGGAGATAATGATTCTAGAACATGGCCATACAGCCCGGAAAACCTACAATAACCCATACATTACAGGTGAATAGACGGACAGCCTGAGTTTTCAAGAGATAAGCAGGGCTGTTCATAACAGGGTGTCTTGGAGACCATGCATTCATAGGGTTGCCATACGGCAATGCTGACTTTATGGCAATAAGCCAGCAAAAATACTTCCAAAGAAAGTGATTCATTTTTATTTATTTATTTTTGCATAAGACTCACATCTCTTCCTTTGTTCCAGGTTGTTTCCATGTTGATTCTCTTCTCTGGAAATGCTATTTTGTATTCACCAATATTTTAGGAACCTTTCCCGATGGATCTGTATCCCATAAAATACTTTGTTTATATATATACTCACATAATGTATGTGTATGAAGATCCATCAGTCAGTCAGGGCTCTCCTGTCATCGATGCTCTAGCTGTGCCAATGTTTGCCATGTAATCATAACCTTTGACATTTGCAATTGCACAGAAAGGTTGATTCTATAATATGTGTCTTTCCCATCCAAGTGCTATAGTGATGAGTCTATATACTATTACTTCATTATCCTCTATTTAATTCTTAGGCATACAGGAGACCGTGACAAATTCTGATCATGGTAATCCTGTTGTGTTCACTTCCTTGCTGATTTTGTAATGACAACATTCCAGCAAGCAACTCCGCTACTGATCTAAACCATAAATGACAACTATCTCTGTGTATTTGCACCAAATGAGTTTTCGCCTGAGGAGCCCTTGTCAGTTCTTCTGTTTCTGCTATGGACTAAGGTATGCCCAACCTACTCCTGCAGCAAATTTCAGATAGGCAAATTCTGAGCTGATTGAATTAACCTCACCTTTCAGACTTCAGACAAAAGCAGGATATTTTCAAATGGTTCCTCTAAACATAACCCTGCCTACAAATAGAAAACCAATAAAGAGTGTTGTGAAGATTCCCTATACAGGGAAGATATTATCAGGGTGGAGCAATGGAAAGTGCTTTCTTGCAGTCTGAAAATACATTTTTATTGTCTACTGTACTACAGCTGCATAAATGGACAAAATGTATATGGTCTTCCTAAAGAAAGGTAGATAGTTATTCCCGGTCTCTGGACATTTGAACAGAGAGAAATTGCTATTTTTGCCACAATGCCTAACCATTCAGATAGGCATACTTTCCCTTCATTTTTGACATTTGTTTTTTTCTCATGTGTTCCTAAGGCGTGTATTTGTGATATAGTGCAGGAATGAAAGAGGCCCTTGTAGGGGAAAAATGGTAGCACGGAGGAGTTAAAAAACCATTTATTCACTCATTCATTCATTCATAGATAGATTCCCATTAAAGCCTTCTACCTTTTGGATTACTTAAAAGTGTTGAGGGAATGCCATTTACAGTAGAGAATCGATGTGTAGAGAAGAAGCAACCCCTCCCATCTCCGTATTTATATTATGAGAAAAATGCTAAATATTCCATATAATGCATAATCACCACTTCAGATTGTATTCTTAGCAAAATCTATATTTTAAGATTTTGTTTTGGTTGTAGAATATCCTGGATTTATTTTATTTACTTTTATTTACTTATACATCTTTCTCCTAAGATAAGGACTCAAGGTGGCTTACAATAAATATAAAACAGTGCAAATCAGAACAATGTAAATGCCTGATAATGCTCTAGAGTAGTGTTTCCCAAAATTGTTTTTGACCAGAAACCCCTTAACCAGGGACCACTTTGACCAGGGATCACTCTCCAACATTAGTACCAAAAGGATTACAAATCAGTTTTTGTTCAACTTTAGATTTGATTTGATTATTTGGGGTGTTGATTCAGAAAACTGCATTGGATAGACCACATCAGCTCTAGTTTCTAATACAGAGCATATGCCATCCAGTAGTCGTTCTGTTCACTTACAGAGAACCATGTTTAATTATCTAGAGTTGATGTAGCAGTAGTAATCTTTCGTCTTTCTTTAGTCAGCCTCTCCCTTCCAGACATCTCTGTTGCCTTGGTGCTCTAAGAGAGTTTTGCAAAACCCATTGCTCTCATTGCCACATGGTTTTGAGACAACAGTGTAGTAATGATGAATCCGTGGACCACAGTCTCGTTCTTATGGACCACTGGTGGTCTACAGACCACAAGTTGGGAACCACTGCTCTAGAGTCTAGACTACCTTCCACAAATCTTCAGAAACAGTTAAATGGAACTACACTATATTGAAATCTATACACATTATGTCTAGGGAACAGTATTAATATTCAAATATATTCATAGGTCTCTTACAATTCACCATTAATTAATCTTAATGTGTATCCTAATACAAAAAGAACCTTTTTTGGATCCTTCTGATCTAACACAGAGATTAATATTTCAGACTGATTCTTAAGAAACGTTTTTGAAATTTTGATTGTGGGAGGAACATGCGAGGACAGGAATCAACAAGAATCTGAATACTAATCATATATCTTTCTCAAAGGAGCCATGTGGGTTGGTCCTTGTAGTGTAACATTTTCCACATATATTCCTCGACTGATTCCTGCCCACAGTCCTTTGTGGCAACGGTTAAGGCAGAGCTTTCCAAACTATGTGTCATAATACATTAGTATGTCAGTCACATTGTGTAGGTGTGCCATGTGAACGTAATGAGAAATGACAAAAATCTTGGAAATGTATGTTATTATCTTAAAAATCATATATCTTAAAAATAGAAAGGAAAGGTTTGAATGAGATTTGTTGTGTCCCCATGCATTTCATTTATACAATTTATGTTGGGCATCACAAATTCATTCTATTTCTGGATTCCTTAGAATGTCCCCAATAATACAGATTAGCCCAGACATGAGCAAACTTTGGCCCTCCAGGTGTTTTGGACTTCAACTGTTAAGCCAAAAACACCCATTGGGCCAAAGTTTGCACTTGCCTGGACTAGCCACTCAATGGCAGATTACAATCTGAACAGGAATAGTGTCTTATCAGTCCATTTCAGGGTGCAGAGCCCCCCAGCATGGGTCAGAGGATGATGTAATTTTTGTTGTTATTTCACTTTGCTCCCTACAATCCTGTATAATAAAAGCATGAAACTTATTCCTTCATCCAGTTACAGTTCTTCCCAAATCAAAAGTCACATGGAATATGACAAATAAAGATATAATATCATATAATATAATATATCGACATTTGTTGTTGATTCCTATTTTCCATATTACTCTACAATACCTCAGTGATTTCATAAATGTTCATTCCCATTGGTTAGCCCTGGCTGCCCCTTTTGTATTATATCAAATGGTCTACTTACTGACTTGGCTTTGCTTATTAGAGATCTCAGTATTTCCTTAACGTTATTTGCCTTGTCTCGTTGGAAATACAAGCTGACTTCTTGTTGATCGTATGCTGTGATGGGGACTGTCGCAGGCCATCCCAGCTCTAGATGTGGGGGATCAACATCGGACATCAATGGAAAATAGGTCCCAGATGTGACTCCGGAGAGAAGTGAAGCTCTGTCTGCGCTGTCCTCTCTAGTGAGCCCTGATTCACGGCCCTTCATTGGAGACTCAGGGATGCTTTGGCTGTGTTGGCTCATGTAATCCATGTCCAGCATGGAAAGAAAGGGCAGCTCCTTCTCCTGAGCAATGGCTTGTAGGTAGCCAGCTTCTCCCTGTTCTAGAAAGGCATCCACAGCCAGTCGAGCAGTCTCGCTGTGCTGCAACATGGAAGGGCTGATTTCCTTCTTCCAAGGCTTTTTGAGATCTTCTATTCGACTTTTTAGTTGCCCTGTACTCCCTTGGGAGTTCCCATAGCTTTTGTGAAGCCAGGTCATTGTTTCTGTTGTTGGGTAGCCAAACATTGTAAGATGGTATTCCTTCTTGTGCTTCCTCTTTGTGTAGAGATTCTTCAGTTTTCTTCTCTCAAGACGAATCTTCCTTTTCCCTCAGTAAAGATCCCTGGTAGCCAAACGCCAGGAGCTCTTTTCTTCTTCCAAAATAAAGATCCCAAGTAGCCAGCCGTCCAGAGCTCTTTCCTTTGTCCTCAGACTAAGCATCCATTTATTCCATCTTCTGACGAACTTCTCCAGTTGCTCCAACGTATTTGCTGAAACAGAAATAATTCCTGAAAAGTCCAACTGAAGTTGTCTTTTTCATGGAAACGTCAAGAAGGATTGTACTATCTTCTTTACAGGAGCTGCTGCTTTTAACACACAGTTCCCCAAGCAATAATAATTGGTTATGTTCCCACCCTCGCTATCCCTAAACTAACTTCTCTCTTCCAAGCAAAGCCCTAGAACCTGTTCGGTCAGTTCTCGTGTCTGGGGAGGAAATGGGACTGTTGAAACCTGTTCTGAGGTCCACGTGGATTTGCATGGTAATTACAAACCCACAAAACTGATAAAACAATGTAATAACACTGAACTGATCTGGAGATCGAAAGGACAACTAGCATTCCTGCAGACATTTTTAATTTTTTGTCAGGTATTTTTGAAATTAGTACATTTACAGTAGAGGTTTGTACATGTTTGCAACTCTGGGTAGTAGAGCGATTACTCAGATTTTGCAATGCACGTATTTTAAAATATATGATATATATTATTTATAAATTCATACAATTTATCTATGCATACAGTCATTTAATACATTTGTCTATAGTTAGAAATCTATCACTAATTCCATTGCTCTCTGATGCTTATTGCGTTGCTGCATATTCTATTTCTGCTAAGAAACAATGTGAAATAACATAAAGCTTAAAATATGGACCTTAGTTAAATTCCTAAATTGTGAGTAACAGAATTATGTCAAATTTCTATCCTCAGGCATAATAAGTCTATAAAATTGTTCTAAAAGTATTATTTGTATATTTTGGAATGCTAAGAAGGGATTATGTGGTTGAGGTTCTGTGGCTGAGCAGGGATTTGAATCTGCTCTCTCTCATTCTATTCCAGTACTCAAACCACAGCACCATGTTGGCTCTCTGTGAGATTCAACTAATCCTTGTTGATAATTCAAAATCTATTGTTATTACATTTTTATAAAAGTAATTGTATGATTCATAAGTAAAAACAAAAATCAGACCATTATAAAGAACTAACCCTTAACTGGTATTTTGTTTCTAACCTATGCATCATACAAGTATTTATTATTTATTTATTTATTATTTATTATTATTTACCCCGCCCTTCTCACCCCGAAGGGGTCTCAGAACATACTTATGGCAAACATTCAATGCTGATTATACAATTAACAAGTACAAACACATAAAAAGAGCTAAGGGCAGTTTTTCTCATTTTATTTCCAGTATCTTAGAGGCTGTGCTTGCCTCTGGCCACAGGGGGTGCTGTCGTTCCATCTTCCATGCTGAGGAACTTTCCTCCGATTGATGTCCTTTTAAGGGCACCTTTTTAATACCTCCCGCTAAAAGCGGTACCTATTTTACCTACTCGTATTTCTGCTTTCAATCTTCTAGGTGGACAGGTGAGCTGAGGATAACGGCAGGTGCTCACCCTGCCCGGGATCGAACTGCTGACCTTCCGACTGGCAGGATTTTAGCACCAAAATAGAGTGCTTTATCTAAGAACAACAGTCACCCAAATCATAGCTCTGCAATAATTCTCGTAGTCTGGCTTGGCTCAATTATCATTATTCTACCATAGTTTGCTTACTGGGTGTGACAGTGCCACCCTGCCATTCATTATCTTGGAAACTAAAGGAAAATATAGCCATATAGGCGTAGGCTACAGAGTAATCTGTCTGTGAGGAGATGTAAAAATTCAGTTTATTATCTTATTTTATATTACTCTGCCAATCAGTGCAGATGATTTGCATGTTGCAATATTCTGTGTAGATATGCAGTAGTATGCAATCTTCATCTAATAAATTATCAGTCTGAAATCTAACATTGCATCCTCTGATCCTTTCACTCAAATACTTTGATAGAAAGCTTATCAGGTTTTGTTTCCCATTACGTCAGAGTCATAAAAAGTGTAATCTATATTCTGACTACAAATGCATTCTTATGTCAGGGACACATTCTTTATGATTTTTGGTAATTTCATGTGTACTACCAATTCAGAAGATGTTCTAATGCTGAAGTCTAATCTACCAGAGACTTGTAGGATCTTATCAAATGCAGCTCCCACCCCCATTTCTACACAATTTTGAATACGTTTCCAGACAGAGTCCCATGGAATCCATCAAACGACACAAAATGACTTCTACTGGTCACCCATGGGACCCATCACACATTAAATTAAGCGTTTCCAGTCATTTCCACGCAAATCAGAAGATCTTAAGAAGATTGATCCCTGACTCCATAATCCTCCATTCTACACACTTTTGAAACAGTTTACAGATGGTGGATTAGACTTCAACATTAGAACATCTTCTGAATTGGTAGTACTCATGGGGCTCCATGGGACTCTGTCAGGAAACTGAATCAAAAGTGTGTAGAATGGAGGATTATGGAGTCGGGGAGCAATCGTCTTTAGATCTCCTGATTTGCGCAGAAACGTCTGGAAGCATTTAATTTAACGTGTGATGGGATCTGACAGATTCACCCATGGTAGATTGCTTTAGTGATGTTGAAGAGTGGGCATCCCTGTTAGTGGCCTCCAAATGAGCATCAATGCTCCTTTACTTGCCAGTAATCCTCTTGCCTGATTCTTTTACAGTAATTTTAATTTTAAAAAATTGTCAGGAATTGCACAATTTTGCTATATTAGCACTTAGCTATTGCTATATTTTCCCCATTTTAGACGTATATTTCAGATTTCTGCAATTCTGAGGTTTTTAAAATTGAAAATAAAGGAAGTATAATGGGCGGGGACTACACTTGCTCATGTGATAGCTCAGAACGTGGAGGATTACTGTAAAAATTGACAAAAGTATGTCAGGTGTGATGGGAATGAATATGGGAGTGAATATCTGTTTTCATTATAAATGCAATTGAATGAAACACTACAGTAAAATTATTTCCCCCGCTTCCTACCGCTCCTACCGCTTCCACAATGGACGAGGTCCTTAGTCAGCCAAAACACATATCTAAGTATATGGATCCAATCTTTCTATTCAGGCAGGCTTTTAAAGAATAATGGGTTATTCCCACTGAAAACCCAGATTTGCACTTTGGGGATACTCCAAGATTTGGTTCTGAATCTGAAGGCTTGGGTTTGTCCATGTTCAGGAATGGTTTTGGACATCTAAAGTTAGTTGTTGCTGTGATTATTATATATTTGTACCCTACTTTTTCTCTGTTAAAGAAGACTCCAAATGGCTGGTGTGCCAACTGCGGCTGTTCCTGGAGAAGTCGATCTGACCACAATGGTACATGCCTTGGTTACATCCTGTTTGGATTACTGTAAAACACTCTAAATGAGCTTGTCTTTTAAGAATTTCTTTAAAATCTCAGCCGGCCCAAAGAGCTGTGGCCAGATTATTAACTGGGTCTGGCTACCAGGAGTGACTACTCCCCTGTTGCAACAATTCCAGTGGCTGTCATCTAATTTCTGGGCCCAATTCTGGTTTAGACTTATAAAGCCCTATATGGCATGGGTCTAGGTTATTTCAGGGACTATATCTCTCCTTACGAACCTATTAGAACATTATCATCATCATCATCATCTAGAGAGGGTGTTCTCTTTGACCCACCACTCTCTCAACTCAATTGGTGGGAACAAGGGAGAGGATCGTTTTGATGGCTGCTCCCAAACTCTGGAATTTGCTCCCTTGAGAGACCAGGATGGCTCCATCTCTGCTTGCCTCTCATAGGCAGGTAAAAACACTCCTCTGCTACCAGGCATGTATAAGCTGGTAATGGCGGGCTTTTAAAGATGATATAATTGAGATTTTAAGATGGGTATATAGTTTTAATAATTTTAATATTTCATTGTTTTAATAACAAATGGTTTGTATTTTAATTTTTATAATTTAATGTATTCACGTTGTTTTTAATTAGCATTTGTTTTATATTTATTGTTAGCTATCTAGAGGCACTATGTGAGGAGAAAGGTGGGATAAAAATAAAGTAAGAAAATAAATACATAAATAAACCTGGCTTCAAATTAAGCCTCGATCAAAGCACTTTAAAATGGAAGCGGAGCATAAATTTATGTGCTGTCAGCTACATTTTGAAACCGTGAAGGCAATTAGGATTCAGGTTTACAGACTTCAACTTACGGAATTCACTTGGAAAAACAGTTTCAGGAAATTGTCTTGGACTTTTGCTGTAAAAAGCTGCAGTGACGGCATTCTACTTTGTAGTTGGTTGCTTTGAAGCATTGCTGTGATTGTAGGGTTATTGTGGAAGAAGTGCAACCGGTGCAGACCTCGTGCTTGTTAATATAAATCCTGTCTTTGGAGTTGTAGTCATTAAAGGTACAAGACCGCTTCCTCCTGCTGATGGATGTCTCAACTGATACACTGTGTTTTTCTTAATGAGCCATGGCTTATACAAAATTAATACACCAAGCCACTGCTTCTTAAACTGTGGCTCCCAACCACAAATGGGGTCCCCTTAGCTCCCATGTTGGGGGCATGGAAAAATTGGCAACGGTAAAAGTTTTCTGAACATCCCTTAGTGGCTGTTTTAGACATTTACACAGATCTGTTGTACAGTGTTGGCAGTAGACTCTGCAGAAGATGCTTCAGTTGTACTTCAGAAAAAGGAGAATCAGCCTGTTTAGCAAGCTTTGTAAATGCTGATGTCTTATCAGTAAACCTTTGTTTTTTATATCTATTTTATATACCTATACACCTGGGGTCATGCAAATATTTCTTGGTCTGAAAAAAAGTGGAAAACTTTAAGAAGGCCTGCACTAAGCCGCCCATTGCAAATACATTAATATTTATTTCCATCACCAAGCAAACTCTCCTTAAAACCATTCCAGGACAAGAATACATTTATTTGTGTTGGTCATTAGAATGACTGGATCAGTCTACCTTTTGTGGTTTTGCTACACAATTGTGGGAACTGCAATCTCTGCATATGCATATGTTGAATTCTAACTGCTAGTAACCCTAACTTGCATGGGCAATGATCATATAGAGAATAATTTTTTCCCTAGTGAGCAGAAACCTATACGTAACCACTCAAATAGCATATAGTGCAAGCCTATACATATCCACTCAGAGGGCAATTAGTGTATGCCTATACATATCCAGTCACAACCATTTTTCATTAGATAAACAACAACAACATTTTATTATGGTCCAAAGACCCTTATTGCACCGCAGGTGTACAAGGTATGCAGATTAATGAGATTAGCAATATCTGGTTGATTAAACACACAAATTGATAAAAT